CTGAGCAGTTTTGTCTTTGGCCTTTATCCTCCAGAATGCTGCAATGATACCCACCTCTGAGACTTATGCTCTGTGTTGTGTTCCCTCTCATCAGATGAGAGTTGCTCTGTAAGATCAATGACGTACAGCAGAAGTGATGCTTTTACACCCAACTGCCACTTCTGCAGCCACATCATACCAAGCACTGAGCTTGCTTAGTCCCTTTCTTGGATTGTTCATTCTAAAAGAGGGAATTCAACTGCTTGCTAGACTAGGAGGTTTACACATGGGGAACTGAGACCTCTACCTAACTGCTCTGGGTAAGTGAGTTCAGTTCCTTCAGCTCTGGTCAGGCTTTCAGAGAACTTTATTTTGGTACTAGAGATTGAACACAGATCACATGCATTGAATTATATCTCCAGTGCTTTTTGAGAGAAGGTCTTACTAAATCACCAGGTTGCCCAACCTGGGATTGAATTTGTGATCCTCCTGCCTCAGCATCTCAGAATTCTGGGATTACAGGCACTTGCTACCACATGTAGCTTCAGATGACATCTTGATGGCAACTACATAAAAGCTGTTGAGGTAGTAACAAACTAAGTCACCCCCTAAATTCCTGATCCATACAAACTATGAGACAACAAATACTGCTTTAAGCTTTAAAACAATTGGTTATAAATCCTCCAAAAGAAAGCTGTATAAATGAGGATGATAAATAGTAACTCTCTCAAAGAAGTGTCTTAATGATTAAATGAGAAATACGTGGAAAACCCTCAACCTGGCATACTCTGAACATCTACTGGGCTCTTATCATTTCCCCAGAAGCCTTCTCCAACACAGAAGCTACTCCTAGAAGCTATTTTCAGCCCCCACCCCCACTCCCGGGGCCTCAGTACTTTCTTAAGTCATTAAACCAGAGGTACAGGGAGCCAGCCCCAGGCAGTCCCTTTATGTTGTCTATCTCCAACCATTAACTGGGCAAACAGGCTTCGTTTTCTCCTTGTCTGATCTCTTTTCAGAAGACAGGGAAAGATTTCTAAGACAGAGAAAGTTAAGGCACATGCTATGGCTAGGGAATCAAAAGCCAAAATCACTGAAAAAAGACCAATCTCTGAGTGCAAGAACACTTACAAAGGTTGACAATGGTTAACTGAGCTGGCTGGAAGCGAATCGAGCTTTTACTGAGCCTGCTGTTTAGAAATTGTCCTCTGACATATACAAAGCTTCCATTCAGGCTTATTCCTGTGCTTTTCAGCGGGGAGGGAATTGATCCTGGACTTTCTCAGGCAAGATTCATAGATGCTATCTTTTCTCTCTCTGATTTTTCCTGTTTCTTCACACTTGAGTTTTTCTTTTATTATTGATGGGTGGGTGAACTGTCAAATCTCCTATAAACTGAAAGAAGGGCAGAAGGAAAGTTTTTGGAAAGTTTCCTGTTAAAGCAGAGAAAAGAAGAAGAGAGACACTCCTATCCCACCGTAAAATTCAATGATAAAATTATTTGGCAACCAAATATTTGACAGCCAAAGTCTTCACACATGCACTATAATGTAACAGGGATGTGAAGGACTCACAAACATGGAATGGACAGGTTTTACTATCACCAAATCATGAGGATTTCTGTTATTCCATGCAAACAGTTTTCTATACTTCACTAATGGTTCTCTAGACACTATTTCTGCAACATCCTTCTAAAATGGGATAAATGCAAAATTTAAAACAAAAATAACCTTTTATTATACATTTGGTCAGAGTAAAGTTATAAATTTCCTCAGAGAAACGCAAGGAGATTTTATTCTTACCTGTGGCCACTAAAAGTTTTTATTCTGAAAACATATGCAACAGTAGTCAGCCTGTCCTCCCCCACACCTCCTCCCCTCCTCTTCTGGCTGAGTCTAGTTCTGCTAAAGTCAGCAGTTCATATGGAAACACTTGACCTTCTCTTAAACTAACCTCTCAGGGGAAGAACTTGGGTCTGTTCCTTTCTTCCTCCTTCCTTTTAGCTATGTTCTTTGGGTTTCACATAACCTGGGTCTTTGTTTTCTTTTTCTATCAACCCTTCCTTTATCTTTTCATTCTTCTTCTTTGTCCCTTAACATTCTCTTTCTCCTCACTCTTGCATGCATAGCTTCCCTCTTTGCATGGACTAGTTTGCTTATCAAATCTTGGTGGGATCTATGCATGGCCTTTCTCAAAAATAGCTCTGGATGCTCTGGAAGAATGTGGCACAGCCCAGGAGAGGAATTGCTGATTTAGAGAAAGTGCTGCTCTCCTGAATGCCTATCTCCATCTCTTATGGTAAGGAAGGGCTTGCAATGAAATGGTTTCCTTTTTTCATTTTTACTTGTTTTTTATTTAAAAAAATATTCTTATTGGATGCACTCAGTTACCTTTATCCAGCCAATAGTAAATACTTTCTAGAAGTTGTCAGAAACAGAATGAATGCAAGTGTTTGAAACAATGAATAAAATAATCTTACCATACATATGAGCACAAGGAAGAACACGTGGGTCCAAGTTTCCTTCTTCTTTTTTGTTTTTATCTAAATACTCATATGTGCAAATCAAGGAATATATGAAAGACATCCAGATAAGAGATAGATACCAGCTATTCAACTCTCTGTGTGGCTGAGGCAGGAGGATATTTAAGCCCAACCTGGGCAATTAATTTAGCAATTTAGCAGCAATGGGTCTCAGAATAAAAAAAATATGAAAAAATCCTGAGGATACAGCTCAGTGTGATGTATAGACAGACACAGAGAAATACATACATGCACAGAAAGAGAGAGACAGACAGACAGATCAAAATAAGCTACAATAAAATCACATCCCCACCTATTTGCCCAAGAGCATCTTTAACCATCCCCCATCCTACCTCCTCACATTTAACTAGTTACTAAAGTCCAATCATTCCTATTTCTGAGTAGTTCCACAGTTCCAAAGAACTATGATCCATAAAGTGAGTGCCCTAAGCCATTCCCTTGCTCCCCTTCCATCTTGCTTCACTTCAACCCCGCCCTGCTCCCCAGCCCAGCAGTCCAGGCATGCTCACAAGTCTCCAGTAGCTCTGCATCCTTTACAGACTAAAATCCAGCTCCTCCTCTTGTGCATCCTCCTTTCTGGCCCTGGGTTATTTTAGAATCTCAGAATAGAGGACAATATCTTTTTGTCCGTGTTGTGACTATTTTCTGACTATATAAGCTTCCCTACAAAACGAGCCCTGTGAAAAGTTGTGCCTGGATCTCCTAGCAGAGTTGCTTCTAATTCCCAGGGAGGTTTGCTCACACTTTTTCAGTCTGAATCCCAACGTAGTCAGATGGAGGTAGGTAAGTCTCCCAAGCTCAAAATTTTATTTGGAGACAAGATTATGTGTCGCTTATTAAAAAGGGCAAGAGACTCCCTCTCCATTTCATATATGCTACCCAGCAGCAGAAAACTCCCTGCAGTTTACCCAAGTAAGCCCTATGGAAAGTAAGTGCATTTTGTAGGGCCCTAGATCTTTTTACTTTAAGGGAAGTTCTGATGATTGCAGCTTTACTCATCTTTCCATTGATCCTCAGGATGTTAGTAATGTTCTGGGGACAAACAGACTATCCAGATTACTTTGATATATTTCTATATATGTGTATGTACAAATATATATGTATGTATATATGTGTGTATATTCTATATACATATATGCATGTATACACAGATATGCAACAAAACATGTTTGTTTGCATATCATTGCGACATGACATACTTTTGGAAACTAGGGACCTCATCTTTATAAAACTTGATCTTTGTAATTGTATCAAGAAGCATAGCACCTATAATAGAATATAAGCCCTATAAATATTTATTGATTGTATGGATGGTCTGTTCAGTTCCCAAAAGAATTTGCATGTATTTATTTAAATGTACAAAAGTATCACCTCATGAAAATAATTATGGTTTAGTAGTTTGACATCATTTAGTACTCTAAAAGAGTAGTAAACACTGACTTCTTAAAATGTCATCAGCAATAGATCAAGTTTTTCAGTTATTTAATCACTGGCATCTTTACTGCAATTCTGAAGTTGTGGGCCACACACACATTTTTGATAGCTCTACAAACTAATTCTGATTTGTTGCCTTGAACTCTAGATAAGACCCCTGAGCAAGCAAGTGCTGACTGAGTTTCTTGATCAACTAAACCATTCACAGAGACTGCTTCAGTTGGCTGACTAATTTAGAAAGCATTTAATGCTGAAATGAAAGTGTTTAAAAGGAAATGAGCACCAGAAGAGACTCAAACCAGTGATTCTCACTTGCTGGTAGCCAAGTGTGTGTTCCATTGTCTGTATGTTTAATATGAAAGTTATGGCTAAGCCTGGAACCTTTAGTCAAGCTAAAAAGACACACAAGTGACTGTAAACGAAGTAATCCTCTGACATATCACTGATTCCAGACCCCTCTTAAGGTTGTGGAGTATACTAGTTTTATGATTAAGCTCTGCAATAATCCTAAATTGGACAAATAGGTACTTCCCTGCATCCAAATCCTCCTAGTAATGAATTCTCACCATGCCCAAAGGGAAAAAACAGAATAAACAAAAACCTGGACTCTGTGTACTTTCTCCTCTCAGCTGTATTGGAGGCTCACTTTCCACATCTCCCCTCCCTTAAGATATTCTAACGCTGTTTGAAGATATTAGTACTGCCTTCTTTGAAGACCATGGGCAATAGCATTTTATTAAAAATTAAATTTAGATATTTTGAAAATTAAAAAGAAAACGTGACTTTTCTCTAATTTCAGGAAGTATGTATTTCTCATACATAAAAAACGACATCTCCAACGCTCACAGCCTACACCTTGGGCCCCATGGCTTTTAGTGAGTTGGTTCTCCACAAAAGGAGCAGAGAGAGTGCTCTGAAGCCTCCTCAATTACACCCGGCAGCCTGGCCAGATCCTCCCTGCAAAATGCCTCATTCCCCCTAGCGTGACGAGAGGGCTCCTGACCCCATCTCAACACCCTTATCTTTAGGAGCTCTTTAAACTTGCCTTTATTCAGCAGAACCACGGGCACGGTGATGATGGTGACCAGCGCGGCAGCTCCCAGCAGTCCCAGCAGAACCTTCCAGGGCGTCTGCAAGCCGGGCAGACCAGGTCCAGTTAGAGGAAGCTCTGGCCCCAGCCCGGGTCACAGGTCGGGGCCTGGCTGCTCCAGCGGGGTTTGCAGGGGGGCGAGCGTTAGGAGTGGGGGACAGTGGGCTGCAAGGGGTTGGAACTCGCCGAGCAGGAGGTCCTCCAGTTTGGGGCCTCTGCGCGCGTTAGTGTTGGTTTCGCTACCCCGCCAGTCTGGAGTTAAGGGGTGCAAGCGTGCGTCTATGGGTGGCTCTCCGGGTCCTCCGGGGCTCGAGCCTGGGTCGTAGCAAGAAGCTCCACGGGTCTGAGGGCGAAGCGAGAGCCACGGGACGCTCCTTCACCTGTTAGAGTCCTGGTCCCCTTCCAGGAACTTTGGGGCAGTTTGAGAGCAGTTTGAGCGGGAGGCACCGGGCTGGACTCGGACGGGGGCGTGCGAGCGCTGCTCACTCACCTTCATTGTCCGCGGCTGCCCGGAGCTGAGCTTTGGGGCGCGAGCACAGCCAGAAGTCCCCGCGAGCCGCCCGACGCGCGTGCTGCTCCGCGGCCCCGGTCGCGGAGTCCCAGGCGCTCGCCAAGTTTCGGCCCCAGTTAAACATTAGTGAGCCGCCAGCCTTCCCAGTAGAAAAGCGCCGCGGGCAGGCGCGCTGGGCGCTGCCATCCCGGCCGGGGGCGCCCGCGAGGCGCTTCTTCCTGCGGGTGCGGGGCGCGCAGGTTACTGGGCACCCCCCTCCCCACCCCAGGACTGGAGTGGGGAGGACCAGGCGTCGCTGAGTCGCTGCCAGGCAGAGCCGAGGCTGGGGACAAGGGGACGTGAAGGAAGCATTACTTAGAGCTCCTGTGGCCGCATGTGGACAGGAGGGGGAACTGAGGCCGGGCTGGACTCCCACACTCTCACAGCTCGCTGCTGCTTAGCTGAAGCTGAGACCCAGGCCTGGGTCTCCTGTCAACAACAGGTAGGTTGGGAGGAGGAGAGGTAGGTATGTAAGGCTGGTGGAAGACAAAGAGAGAGAAAGGTGATTGTTCACTTTGGAATGGCACTTACAGACTGAGTGTATTAGGAAACTTGCCGCTAGCTGGCCTTCTCATCAAGATGCCAAAAATAATACACTGCCACTTACACCCACTTACACGGGACTTGTTTCCCTAAACACTGCGCTGAGTACTTTGTTTATTGTACAGTGAGCAGCCTATGCATGGAAAGGTTAAACAGCTTGACCAAGTTACTCAGCCAGGAAGTTGTGGGACTTGATTTAATAGACCGGCTCTTGGTCACTACTCCACATGGTCTTTCATCTTTTGTTTTAATGACATTCTGGAGAAGGATAAAAGTCACCTGAGCCTTCTCCATCCTCTAGCTCCACCATATCCCTAGAGAGGTGTGCCTTCTTCCTCTCTTCCCTTATTTTCTCATCCATTGTCAAGTCATCCTTTCATGCCACTTATCCACAAATGTGGTTACAACATTACAGACTGTTTTCTAAGGGCTGGAGATAAAGTGGATGGGACAAATAAGGTGAATATTTGTCACTTAGTATGAAAATCACAGGCTTTTCCCTTTGGGGTCCTCTATGATTTCTTTCTCTCTCCTCTCCCTTTAAAGTCTTTTCACCTTGTTTGCTAAAGAAATGCAAAGTCTATCTGTCAGTAGTTAAAGGTAAAGTAGTTAAAAATGCAAAGTCCTACGAGTCGTGAACATATGATTATGAAGGAGTTCAAGATCCCACCTTTTAGTTTCATTCCAGACTTGGCATCAAGATCTTGAATTCAGCAGACACCTTGCCCCCTTTCTCTCTCATTGCATATCATTTCTAAATACACTCTCCCAACTTCAGAGGCTCAAGCTAAATTATGTCTTCGCCACCAGCCTCACCCTCCCTATTAACATTCTCTAAAACTAAAAATTTCAGGTATTCTTCACACCCCTGCTCCTGTGCTCGGGTCACCACTGCTATGGTTTGGGTATGTCTTCCAAAGTTCATATGTTAGAAGCTTAATCATCTACAAGTATGAGAGGTTGGAGGCCCATAAAAAAAATGATTAGTCCATGAAGGTTTTGCCCTTGTGAATAAGTTACATCATTAGCATAAGATTAGATAATGTATTGGCAGAATGGGTTAATAATAAAAGTGAGTTTGGTGCCCTCTTGCCAGCTTGCTCTCGTGCCTTTCTACCTTCTACCATGGGAGGACTTGACTAGCACCTGTGCTACAGATAGGTCTCTAAGGTGGGACTTCCCAGTCTCCAGAACTATAAAGAATAGGTTTGCTTATAAATCACCCAGTCTTGGATATTGTGCTGTAACCAAACAAAATGGAGTAAGATGGCCTCAGGTTCTTTTCAATTCCGTCTTACATGCATCTTACAAACCTGTTCCTGCCTCTCTTTTCAAAAACTGAGAAAAGTGAGTCAAAAGAATTCCTGGAGCCCGTACGCTGCAGCTGTGAACAGAGGTCATCCCAAAGGAACTGCAAGAAACAACGCTATATTGCACTCTCGGTATTGGTCTTTGCTCTCAGCAGTTTGGGCACCCAGCAAGGGGTGGTAGCCATATGGACCTTGGTGAGGCAAATCCACCCAGTTGAGCCTGTGCTTAACTTTCATGCCTGCACCATGGTACTGGACTTTTACTAAGCCCTAGGGAGACTGGGGGAGTTTGGTCAACACTCATAGGAAAAGTCATTTTGTTCTCTGGCAGGCACTCCAGGAGACACAAACAGCTTCATGATCTGTGTCCATTCCAAGAGACAGTCACATGCCTTCTCTTTTGCTTGTCACCAGCCCTTCAATGTTGCTTCTTCTAAGTCCCAAATGAATCAGCTGGCCAACACATTAACCACCACTGGATGAGTCATTGTAGATATTTTATCACATGATCTATTTTTCCATGCAAATGAAAAGCAGATGTACAACTTAAAGTTCTATCCATAGTAAGATTTCGTCTCTACTGAATTTTAGATCATCCTTGGAGGGGTTTTGATGTGGCAGTCATCCACTTATGGCTAGTGCCAGCCTGCTTTGCAAAAGGCTGATTTTTCTTCCTCTCATACTGTCTGATTACAAGGAATCCCTCAGAAGGCTATGGATATGTGTTAAGAGAGAGACTTTGCCTCAGTGGGAGGAGGCGCCGTAGACTCTAAGTTCCCTGGGCCTGTGATTTTCTCTTGTCTTTGGTCCTAGTCAGCTATTCCTCTATTCTTAACAGTAGTATGCTTCTGCGTATGCCATATTTTATGAATTGGTGGATCATGTAAGACTCTATTCATTATGGAGCCCTAGATTGTGTAGTTACGTGGTGCTATGAGTTGAATTGTGAATTCTCAAAAGGACAAATTGGAATAATGAGCCCACAGAAGTTCAGAACATGGCCCTATTTGAGGAGGGATCCTTAGGCAGTCAAGTTAATGTGACTCATTATGATACATGTGAATCCTATGTGACTGATATTTTTATGAATATGGTACATACAATATACAGTGATGGTATAAAACATGAAAGGAAAAGATAGCCATCTATAAACCAAGGAGAGGCATGAAACAATCTTTCTCTCACTGCCCTCAGAATGAAGTAAACTTTCTGATTCCTTGATTTCAGACTTTTATCCTCCAGAACTGTGAGACAGCAAAGATCTCTTGTTTAAGCCACAAGAGAATTTGTTGCACTTTATTAGAGGAATCCTAGCAAATGAATTTAATTTGTGTCCCACCATCATACCTTGAGGTTCTACCAGAACTTAGTAGAACAACAGGTTCTGGGATTCAAGTGGAGAATAGTCATTAGCTACTGAACCCAGGCTCCAAGATGGCTCCCAAAGTTTGGTCTAGTTTCTTACAACAATAGATAACTAATAAATCGACAAAGAAAGATATGGCTTTGCTGTATAACCCCAGGCACCTCTTCCATGACTCTCTTGTTGAGGCTTTCCAGAGGTTCCATGTCAATCTCTGGCTGCCACTACCGCTTCTAATTAACTGTATTTGTTAGGTCATAAAATTCAAGTAACAGTGCACCTTGCGTTATAGCCTAGCCTTGCAGAGTGCTCTCACTTCAAGTTCTATTCAAAACATTTACTTAGTAAATGGTTGGAGATGTATACCCAATTCTAACTTATAGTTCTCCAAAATCCAGAGTTCTGACAATTGTTGTATTTTTCATAGTGTAGTGATTTACCTCTCACATTAGAATGGATACCCTGATATGTTACTGACCACTGAATCCTTTGAAACTTTAGGAATATTTCATGTGTTTTCTACTCTACCCTGTGCTCATCTTTGTCTTACTAAATCATGGAAGGGCTCTGCTACTTACTGTCCATTAGTTCCATTTAGCATAACGTCAGCAATGAAATGGACAAAGGTGATGTTCTGTGGTATGTCAAGATCATCAAGTTCCTGGGGGGACTATGACAGAGAGGGTTGACATAACCTTGAAACAAGATAGTAAAAGATATTCTTGCCCTTTCCATATTGTCTTAGTTACTTTTGTCACTGAAACAAAATATCTGACAACCACAATTTGAAGGAGGAGAGGTTTATGTAAACTCATGGTTTCCAGAGGATTAAATTAATAGTCAGTTGCCTCTAAGGCAGAAAATGATTGTTTGATGGAAGGATCCAGGGAGAGGAAAGCTGCTCATGTCATGGTGGTCAGAAATCAGAGAGCCAAGTAAGGAGTCAGAGAGAAAGGCTGTACTCTCCCAGGTCACACCCCAGAGACCCACCTCCAACCAGGCCCCATCTAACACCAAGTCCACTACAGTACTCTTGGGATCCAATTACTCTCTGCACACATGATAATTTTGGGGGATACTTTAGACCTAAACCGTAACACAGGTGAAGACAAATTATTTTAGATAACTTCATTAACCAGACTCCAAGAAAAAAGCTCCTGATGCTGTGAGCATAGTTTTTGATCCAGTATAGTGACCACAACTAAAATGTGGTCATGAGACTGACCCATTATCATATTCCATGATCCACCATACTCTGTATATCTGAACAACAAGCTACTGTAGAGGAAACCAGCACTCACATATCTTTCAGGTTTTTGAATGGTGGCAGGTAGCACTAATCTCTGTACTTATTCTGGAATGAAAACTTACTTTTAATTTTACATATTGATGTAGAAGCAACAGGGGCTCCTGCTAAGTCTTTTTCCCCTTATTATCTCTTCATAGTTCAGAGAATAAATGAGCAGAGAGCCAAAGCCTCTAGAGCTGGAAACCTGCTATTCCTTAATTTGAATACAGTATAATTGGATTCAGATTCATGACTTCCATAACTATACAATATTAAATTGTTTTGTTTTAAGCCACTCAGTTTGTGGTGATTTATCACAGCACTGGTGGGGACCTAGTGCATCTTTGGACCACAGTGGTGTTTTAACTCTGTAGAATTTATTCTAAACCCAGGGCCAAAATTCAATAACAGTAGGAAGTTCTAACCTTTATCACAGAGTATTTTGAAATTAGCTGCATTTCATGTATTCCTCTAGAAAAGGCTTGGAAGAAAATTTAAAGAATGTATTGTGACAGAATTCTGCATCCTTTTTCAAATTTAGCTCTATTTCATCAAGGTATTCTGGGTCTAT